GCGCACGGTGAGCGCCGGTGGTGGTGAGCACCGGCCCCGTGCCACAGCGCTGGAGGGGGAGGGCGCTGGCCCCAGGCGCGCAGCCCTTGGAGGGGGCACCGGCCCCGGGCGCGTGGCTATGGGGGGACCCCAGCCCCGGGCACATGGCTATGGGGGGGGCGCCCCCGGGCACGCAAGTGTCCCCGCCCCCTGGCGCCCGGCGGGCGAAAGGCCACTCCCCCTGGCGCCCGCCAACCTGAAAAGGTTGGGGACCACTGTCTTAAGACATATCAGTCATACTGGCAAGATACTTTATATTTCATTCTCTTCTAAACAGATCCAGCTGAGCTAAAAATTAAAACTGAAATACATTATATGTATTTCTTTTAAGCTTGTTTAATGAAAGTATATATTTTTATTTACAAAACTAGCAATATTGATTTTTTTCACATTTTATCAGCGGAATATGATTTATATTGCAAACTGTGAAAATACAGACATAAAAATTATATGGTTATGATTATTTAATCATACACTGTGGGGTTTTATGCCTTCTCTAGAGTTGCCACTTGGGAAACTGACATAAAAGCAATAAGACATCTCTTCCACAAACTAGCTTTACTGCTAGTATGATTTTTTCCAGTTTTATATGTAAATCATTTATGGCTTGTTCTAGTGCCCTTTGAAGTAAAATTCTGTAAAAAAAAATTTTTTAAACTGTGAGTACAATTGCACTAGATACTACTAGACATCATGGAATCTCTGACAAAATAGCAGAGGTATAAATGACTAGGCTGTGGAGAGATGGTAATAGCATATAATAAGACTGACAAATCTTTGACAATATTTGTGGAGCAGTGAATAAGAACAAAGCATGAGCTTGCAGGAGATTGCAAGTGGGGAAAATGTTAGGTAAATAATCAAGGTCCACAAGGTGTGTCAAAACATAAATAGGTTTGATATTTAAAAGATATTTTTTGTGACTGTGTTATTAGTTAATTGGAGATCTAAATCCCTCCACTCAAAGGTCACAAATATCTGCTTTCTTGGTGCGATTTGATATTTGAATACCTACATAGTAGGATATAACTAATTATTTATATATGCAAATTTGTACCCCACAAACACGGAGACCAGTGCAGATAATCTCCAAAAATGAAAATTCATATGCTTGAGCCTGCAAAAATACATAAAAGTTTAATTTATATGAAAACTATTTGTTTCAAGCACGATTTCCCTGACTTAAGATATAGTTACTCTATTACTCTTATCGCCTGTCATATTTTATTTTATTTTATTTTATTTTATTTTATTTTATTTTATTTTATATCTCAGTACTGCACCTAAGACAGGAGGGAGATCTTTGAAAAGGAAAGCAAAGAAAAAGAAGTTTGTATTTTTAACATGGTTACTGAAAAAGCAGGTAAAGAGGCAAAGGAGAGAAGGGAAATACCTTTGGGTCTTTGTTTATAATAGTGAGACTGTCCAGGGGATAAGCATTCTGGTAACCACATATTGAGTCACTTAAGAGTAAATGTAGAGATGTGTTTTATAGTAAATGTGGTAAAATCTTCCCCTTGCTGAACCCCCCACCTCCAGCTCCCCTTCAACCCCCCTCCCCTTATACACTAGAAGCAGCAACGAATAGGCAGCTGCATGATCAGAACTTGACACATACAGCTGGCACAGGACAGGAAGTCTCACAATGAGCAGGCAGAACATGTGTCAGGCAACATGTTACTGTTCCTCTCAGTAGGAGCAGTGTGCAAGTCTTAACTATTGCTGGCTAGCGCTTCTGGCTGGTGGCTGCATAAGTGCTGACCAGTTGGGATTTGGGGTATGCCCTTGCTGCTAGCCAGGTATATCACCCAGTTTATTCTAAGGAGGTATTCTCACCCAGCACTCTTCTGTATAAGTATGCTGCTTGGTTATTTGTGGGTGGGTGAGTGGGGTGAGGTGGGGTTGGGGGGGGGGGGGGGGAAAAGAAAGAAACAGAGAG